GCTATTCTGCAGAGAGAGACTGAGACATATGGTATAAAACCCAGTGCAGTGAAGTCGATTCTCTCACCCTTACCTTTACCTTAACTTTTCATTTGTATACAACATGGCTTCTCTATTCATGCTGCTCAGTCTAAGCCTATTATCACCTCTGCGTATCTGGCATATGATGCTAGACACGTATTTGTAGACCATCTGCCGCTTAGTGGATGATGTGGTCGATATCAAGGGGGTAGCCTTTACTTCCAAGGACATTACCTGCTATACTGCTAGGCTGAGTCAACTTGGTCTCCATAGCTTGATGTTAAAAAAATAAATCGACTAAATGCAGATTCGAACCCAGGACCATTGGGTTCGACTAGCTGTTTGCCTCTGCCCTACCGGGGATTTCATAAGGCATTATAGTGACCTGAGGTGAAAATTATATATATATATATATATATATATATATATATATATATATATATATATATATATATATATATCGTCATCATCATTCTCATCATGTATCAGGTTCATCTGCAGAACGTCGCTCTCATCACGGTCTGCCTGAAAGAAAATCGGTCTCTCGCCAGCTCTCCCGCTAAGTGTACTTTCATATTTAAGCAAACACGTATATCCTGTGCCCAACTTCTTGTTGGTCGGCCCCTGCCCATACTTCTTGGTGCCATGCATTCTGCTATTATTTGTTTCCAATCCGCCATGACGCTTGATATAACCGAATTTTCTTCAGATTACGATACAAGATGCTGTTTATTAGCCAATCTTCCTTAATATTATGATTTTTTAGAAATGTCAGTAATTTTTCCTTTCCTTGTCTATGGTATTATATATATATATATATATGAATGATTGGTCTACTAATAATTATAGGTCTAGCCCTAAATGCCCAATACGTCTGAAGATGTCATTAAACATTTTTCTTTTTTTTTTTGCTTTTTTTTTAATTTTAATAGTTGTGCTTCCTGCAGCAAACGATTCCCCTCCCCCCCCCCCCCCCAAATAAAAACACTCTTATCAATCACCCCTACCCTTTGCCTGTGCACCCGATGGCACACCAGTTACAATCATGAGAAGGTCGATGTGCCCAAACCAATTCGCAGCGCCACACGGCGCATCACCCCTGAAGCAATAGAGGTTCTGGCCTTGGCAGCACTAATTGACTTCTGTGCATTTGTTTAGGTTAGACAGAGAGAGAGAGAGCGAATGATACAATACATGGTGGCGGTTGGGGCAGGGATGTGTTGGTAGGAAGGTTTCAGTTGAAATCGTCTCCATTTGAATCTTACAACAGAATAGAAACATTACAACTGAAACCCCTAAACCAGCGTGTGTTGACTGTTCCCCCTCCTTCCCCCCTCCCCCCTCGTGTTGGTTCCAGAGTCCCATTGTGGAAGGAAATTAAAGAGAACCACGCCCCCTTAACAAGCATGTCATATAAGTCGACGTCGACTAATTAGGTGTGGTTCCTTCCAACCTGGAGTGTATCTGCCTGAGAGTCAAGAACCGAACAGTCTGCATACATACAAGCCGGATATAAAAAACAGATATGCACATTCAATTCAATTCTGAGCGAAGTACAGAAGCTGACGAACAAGCAGAAACGTCTGCTGGTATTTACAGCCGGTGACAAAAAAAGAAGAAGAACAATGTTGGGTGTAAATAGTTTCAACAGGCAAGTTCTGCATCCAGTAGTTTGCCATTGCTCACGGTTGACGTTCCATTCACTGTCGAAATCAGTGCAAAGGCCTAATCGCCTGCAGCTGAGTAAGACAGAGTATCTTGAAATTATAAAACGCCTTCTTAACTCCTACACCCTAGCAGATGCCAACAAAGACAGATACAATATTTAAAGAAAATCGTCATCATGTTCTTTGGGGACTGGCATGTACGATTATGCCATTACAACGGCATGTCTCGTATCAGTTCGTATTTGAGCACATCTGAATTGCCTGGTAAGGGCTGGGACTTTTTAAAGTAGACTTTCACTTCTAGTAATTCCTCATGGTCTCTGGGTAGTGAGACCGGACGCCCGTGTGCATTGTTGCGCGCGTAAAAAATCCCTGGCAGTTGGGAATCGGAAAGAGTAGGCTAACGGAGCTGCCCCGGCTTTATTTTAAGTTTAAAATCTACACAAAGTATTTCAGGATCCTCGCCGGTGCTACAGAGACTGTGCACTGAACTGAGCTACTTCGGACTCAGACTTGAGTTAGAAGAAGAACGAAGCACTTACGGGTTTACTACCCGTGTGCCATGATGTTGATCTGTTGCCAAAACCTCAAACCTCAAACCTTAAATACCAAGACAAAAAAAGCGTAAACAATCTTCTCGCGTTGTTGTCCTCTGTCTCTTTCTTCACAGATATTTCCAATGGTCACATGTTACTGTTTTCTCCTTCTCATAACATGACCAACAGTTGATGACAGTCTCATTCTGATATCCATGGTAAGTAATATCCAACGAGGCACGGAGGACCTGATGAGTTAAATGAAATACTAATCACAAAGATAACTTCTCTCTGTTCTTCTTTCGTTATTTTTTTTTTTTTTTTCATTGGAAAAATAACAAATTCATCGGATAAACAAACCTGCCTGTAATTACCATCTGTATGAGGTAGGCTAATGTGTCTTTAAACCTGAGAACTTTTTTTAAGCCGCATGGCTAGTGCTGTCGCCACGGACTGTGCAGGGTTACGATTTTTTTTCCTGACAGAAAATAATCGATAACCTCAATGTGGATTCGAACCCGGATCTCCTGAATTATAGCTCTATGTTAGTAACCGTTTGGCGAGTATTAATCATTCGGCTAGTCCACTGCCCTCTAAAAGGCAAGTCGTAAAAGACGACTAAATACAGACGTGCTAACATTAGATAAGTTGGGTCGAAGGACGCAAAAACTACAGACTAGCTATAAACCACATGAGTGACATTTAACGGTGCTTTATTATTATCTTACCCCAAACAGGGAAAATCCACAGGTCACGGGACAGTCTAAGATTTCAAGGGGTTGTAGAGAGGCTGCATGCAGTCATGGGACGTAGGCTGCATGCAGTCGTGGGACGTAGGCTGCATGCAGTCGTTTGACGTAGGGGGGTTGGGGTGAGGGGGGGGTGGGGTTAGAGCCAATTCTAGATGTTTTGGGGCCGCTTAAAGCATCAGAAAGACGGGAAACCCAGTCTTGCGATCCTCTAAAACGTTGGACTGTCCTGTGACGTCATATGGGGGTATGATATAATTGAAGCACTTGTTGAACCCCTCCAGAACCGCACAACGAGGGATAAACACCCGATGACACAAAGGGCCACCCCAGTTGACTGGTAAATAAATGTCTTAGGGCGCCCTTTCTCCATTAATAACAGGCAGCCAACCATTCAGCCACCAGACAATGTTTAAACATAACACAGACGGCGATATGGCAGTTTCAACACCTCTCAAATTCTCATCATTTCGTTTTGTGTCATTGCCCTAATTATCCCTACCCCGCAAAGAAACAAGATAGCACAATTACTGAGACAATTGTCGAGGTCTAATGAAAGACTTTTTGATGAGCGTCCGAGAGAGACAATGCAAACGGGTCGCAGATTCAATTACGAGACCTTGATGGAATTAAGTCCTCAAACTCGGCCATAGTGCACCCTGACATATGTTTGTTAGACCGGCTTCAGATTTAGGATTTTCAGGACTTAATCAGATAGTTAGCAAAACCACAATCTGTTCTACAGAAAACAGTTTACTTTATTTTCTTTTTTTCTTTTTCTTCTTCTTCTTCTTCTTCTTCTTCTTCTTCTTCTTCTTCTTCTTCTTCTTCTTCTTCTTCTTCTTCTTCTTCTTCTTCTTCTTCTTCTTCTTCTTCTTCTTCTTCTTCTTCTTCTTCTTCTTCTTCTGCTGCTGCTGCTGCTGCTGCTGCTGCTGCTGCTGCTACTTCTTCTTTTTCTTCCTCTTCTTCTTCTCCTTCTTCTACTACTTCTTCTTCTCCTAGTGACCTTTTTTCTCTAATAGAATATGCGTTTTTAACTAATTTGCTTCAAGCAGTTCTTACGACAGGACAGACTATGGCGACTGGACCAACTCTTACGACAGGACTGATTGTAATGCAGCAGTCTAATGCTTTTCTGCCTACCCAGTTGTCATGGCTTTGAAATGACTGGCACCCCTCTCCCCCCCCCCCTCCGTCGCCGTTTGGGCTCCGAGTCCCCATTGTGGTGGAAAACAAGAATAGACTTGCGGCCACCCCAGCTAGCATGTCGCAGGAGTCGATAATTTGGGGCTTTGTTTGAAATTGGAGTGCATCTGCTTGAGCGTCAAGGAACAGCCAAATGCACACAAATAGGCTAGTAAAAACAGATATCGTGCAAAACTCAGGCCCTGGCACAAAGGCGAATTCCAAATGGACCAACAGCCAGGACTTTCCGTTGTAAATTATGGCCTGTAAACAAAGAAGAAGAAGAAGAGGAATGGACATCAAGGCATTAAAAATTAATTAACTGACGTTCTGGGCCCACCCAGCCTACATGGTACTAGTAAACCTCACCAAGGAAGTTAAAGCGACCAGTGCAATCACTGAACAATGACTAGTCAATAGAAATAAATCTAGCACCCTTCCCGTGTGGGTTCTGGGTCCCCACTGTGGGGAAAACAGGAACAGGTCCATTGTCTCCCCAGCAAGTACGTCGCCGGGAGCATCTTTTGAAGTCGGAATACATCTGTCTGGTAGGCAGGGAACTAACAGCCTTCATAGAAATAAGCAATATTAGTTAAACGGATCTGCACGCAACACTCAAGTTCTGGAACAAGACTAAAATTCAAGGGTAAACGATAAACCAAAAATTTCCACTGGAGTTTACCATCCAGTGACCGTTAAGGCGAAGAATAAGATCTAGCACCCTATAAAACTCACGCCAGAGACATGGAAATTATCTTTTTTTTTTTTTTAATATAACGAATTTGTTGTGGTTGTAGTTTTTAATTTGTAATTTGTGTTGTTTCTATTTCTTCAAACTGCAGGTTGAAATGGCTGGATCAAGTATATTTGAATACGTTCACCCACAAGACCACACAGAGCTTGCCGATCAGCTAGGAATGTGTATGGTTCCGAGTAAGTACCCAGCTGTGTTTATGAATATAGAGAGAAAGAGAGAGAGAGAGAGAGAGAGAGAGAAAGCGAGAGAGAGAGCGAGTGAGAGCGAGTGAGTGAGAGAGAGAGAGAGAGAGAGAGAGAGAGAGAGAGAGAGAGAGAGAGAGAGAGAGAGAGAGAGAGAGAGAGAGAAGCCACATTTTAAATTGTAAAAGTTTAATCACATGACGGTATACGTGGCACTGGAATGAGACCATTGGAACTTATTTATAGTTTAACATCACGATTATTTCGTCATTTTTTTATCTCCTGTGAAACCTTCTGGCACTGAAAGTGATTAGTGATTAGAAAGGATTATCATCACAGCACTCCGGACAGATCGATAGGTGCTCCGATCTCCTCCTCACAAGCTCTGCAATTGTAAAACGACTGATTACGCCTGTTCTGTGTTGGTTAATGAAACGTCTTGTCTTCTTAGTGAAATGCTCATTTATTACATTTATTACAGCTCCAGGCTGCACCCCCGTGTCCTTCAGTCTAGACAAGAATACGGAGTCATGTCCTTTGGTGTACTCCTTTGTGGCACTGAAAGTGTTTAGGCTAAATTGACATGGAAACTAAGCTAAAAGGTTGTGGATAGACCTGACTACCAACGCAACACAGCATGGTAGGAAGGTATGTGAGAAAGGTGTACCCCACCAGGGTATTACACAAGCGAAAAACACCCGGTGACACAAAATGCTAATATGCGGATAAAGATCACACGTGGAGAGGTCACGGAAATCCCGTTTAGCCGTTAAAAGACATTTAAGACCCGGCTATATTTAGGACCCCCGGCCAAAAGCCAGGGTGGGGGTTCAACATAACCAAAACCTTGCATCCCACAAGCGATGACGATTGATTATCCTACAACAACACAACATGTGCTACGCGAAGAAGAAGGGAACTTGAGTGACCCGAGTAGTTTAAGTAAACAGATCAATAGGCCCTGTTTACGGAACTCCCACTTCTGGTATATATAATATATTTAATGCTGGACTCGTAATTGTTAAGAGTTCGCTGTTATAATATCATTCGTCCTTTTCATGATGAGATTTTTAGTTATTTAAAACCAAACTCTGTCTCTTGCCAGGGGCCTCAATATAGCCTGGCCATAAATATGACTTAAAGGCTGAACGCGGTTTCTGGGACCTCTCCACGGTGATCCTCACCCACATGGTGGCACAATGTGTCATCGGGTGTTTATCGCTTGTGTGATGTCCTTGTGGGGTAGAAAGTCAATCAATCAGTCATTGTTAAGAGCAACTGGTACTTGATGGGTGATGTCGTCACCGTCACTCCAATCGTCTTTACCTCCTAGGAAATTACCTTCTACCTATTATAATTTATGACTACCTGTAAGCCAATGTAAATTCCGATAACAATCCACCCATATGGATTTTAACCCTAAATCTTCAATCTAGCAAATAAGCGCCTAGCCAGTACGACCAGCGGCTAGTATTTAGTGGTAATTATAAATAACGAATACAAATTCCTTTACCACTTCTTTATCATTGATCAAAACTGTGGAACAAAAGAGGGTAAGGACGTCAAAGGGTATCTAGAAAACTTGTGTCTGTTTTATCGAGCGCAAAAGAAAACTATATATTGAATTTCCTTTTTTCAAACATGTAATGCATCCAAATTAAAAGTCTATAGGTAAACACCAGCAAGGAAATCAAAATGAAAATGTTGAGAGCATGCATCTTTCCTGTATATTGAATTATCTTCCAGTTCTTAAGAAAGAAAAGAGGCTCTTTTGAGCTGAAATGCCTACCTTCGGATCGGAAGGTCGTGGGTTCGCGTCCTGATGGAGCCGGACTTTTAAATTAAAAATTGACCTTGAATCCCAGGTGGTCCCAGCCTTGAGTGGGAACCAGGTGCATTTCTGGGAATTAAAGGCGGCCAGTGTGAGTAGTAGAGCTTGCTAATGATCCAGCGATTTTGCGGATTGTGGGTTGACTTTGTGGGTTAACTTCACGGGTTGGTTTTGTGGGTTGACTTTGTATGTGTGTGTGTGTGCGTGTCTGTGTATATGTGTGCGTGTGTGAACGTGTGTATAAAAAAGAAAAACTGGCAAAATTATTAGCTTAGGGACATATGAAACCAATGTTATCATAATTACCATAGAACGAATCGGCAAGTAAACGGACTCTGACCTTCGATACACATGCATGTCTTGCTGACTGTCTGTCAAAACAGGGACGCCGTATAGAGAAACATCTGGAGAGTTTTCGTTTCCTTAACAACAAATCGGTACAGGGGCTAGGGGCTCTCCCAACCATCAAACCAATCTAATGTCACTCCTGATTTTTCTGAAATCTTTCCTCAAAAGTCACGACACCCATCAACAACTCCCATCCGCATCAACAAATTCCCAGCCTACACCCACGTTCAACTCGCGAGCCAATCCGCAAAACCAAAAGGCAGATCCGTACAATCCGTATCTACAGCTCACATTTCCCACATCACAGTCAACCCACAAAGCCAATCCACAAAGTCAACCCACAAAGCCAACCCACAAAGTCAACCCACAAAGTCAACCCACAAAGTCAACCCACAAAGTCAACCCACAAAGTCAACCCACAAAGTCAACCCACAAAGTCAACCCACAAAGTCAACTCACAATCCCCAAAATCGCTGGATTATTAGCACGCTCCACTATAAGCGTAATGCTAACCACATCACAAACTAAGTGTCAATTTGTCTATTTAACTCTTTGAGTCCCACGGGGTTTAGCATCACAGGCCCATGGGGTATTAAATAAAGTCATAAAATCGGCGCATCATGCCTTCATTGGGCTTCTAGGTGGGAAGCCATGAACATATGATGCTTTCCTTGGGACTCAAAGAGTTAAATATAGGTCTAGCCCTATATTCCCATTACGTCTATAGGCGTGGGAAAAAAAGACATTTACTTTGTTTTATAGAAGAGAAGAAATACTGATATTCTAAAATATCTGAACTTCAAGGACTATTGGCTAATAAACATCATCTTGTCGACAAAGCTGAAACAATTTCGTCATATCAAGCGCCGTGGCGGATTAATAAAAACCAAAAAAAGCAGAAGGCATGGTACCAAGTAGGAGGGGCAGGGGCCGACCAAAAAGAAGATCGACACAGGTAATAAGTGACTCCTTGAATATAAAAGCGACGCCGGAGAGCTGGCGAGAGACCGAGTTTCTTTCAGGCAGACCGTGATGACAGCGAGGTTCTGCAAAGGACCTGATACTCGATGAAGAATGCATTAAAAAATGAGGACTCAAAACTCTTGTCTTTTTCTAAGGCATCCACAAAAGGAAAGCTCACAGTCTGAATCTATAAGTTCACAATTCTCTCATACTTGCATATTCATATCAGATACGTTGCTGCTACTTATATACACATGACTCATGCGCGTCTAATACTTGTCTACTTATTATTTGCGTTCACCGGTTGTACACTTCCTCAGAAAGTCCTGGCTGTTCGTCTACTTTTATACTTTAGTATTGTTTCAGGTCTTTACTGTTGAGTGCACATCCGTTTCACATGCTCAGGCTTTCGTGTTTGCTGAATATTGGTTCATCATCACTCGGACAGATATGCTCCGACTTCAGATGAAATGCCAGCCTATCCGGGTAGGCTATCCGTTAGGAATCTATTTCTAGGATAAAGGGGGAGAGGTGTAGATTGCTCACACAACCCCCCCCCCCCCTCCCCCCACCAAGTGCACAACCACTTTTTTTCAATTTCTTGTTGTTCACCATCTCGGCATAGCGTGTCTTTTACATGTTATTTCTTTCATTACAGTAGGGCCAAGCAGAAGTCCACATGGTTCAGGGTCTGACGATGGCTCGTCCCCAACCACACCTCGACCTGCTTCACCATCAGAAAAAGGTACCAGTGATTTGTATTTGTGTTTTCAACCTTTTCATCTCCTTCAGATTTTTAGTGGTAAATACATGTTGCTGAATTGCTTGTTTAAACACGTTTAAGGTGGGATCTTCATGGCTAAATGGTCAAATCTTTGCCTTGTCCTCTAATGCTAGTGGGTTCGATCTATCAACTGTCTAGTTTGGTTTCTGCGTGCAGATTTTATCGAGAAGCCAAAGATCGAAGTTTGCCCTTTGTGTAACACGTTTGACAGGTGGCTAGCAGTTCCACTAGAGGGATGGGGAAGGGGATAGGGGGGGGGGGAGACCAGTACACCGGTACAATGTACACTACCTTCTTGCCTTTCGGTTTTGCTGAATGCTCATGAACACTAAACGTTAAACGATACTCTAGATTAATTGAAATCTATTTCGTAACAGATTCTAAAACAGGTTTTTTCATTTGGGCTGAGCCTGATTTTGAGATCCATTACCTTAGCAGCCTAGAATATGGTAATGGTTTAGACCAGTTTATAGAATGCCCAGTAACACTTTCTGAAGGAAAGCTCTCCAGAAGACAACAGACGGACAAGAGAAAAGTGTAAGACCTGAAGTACCCGGGCAAAGGATAGTAGAAAGTGAAATGAACACATGAAAACTGACAGAGGGGTCCATGGACAGAATAGCAGCCTACTGACACCAGTGGCGATAACCGGTGAATGCTTTATGTGCCAACAATAACAAGAATACGAAATAGATATAGACCTTTAAAAAGGAAAAACGGGGGGGGGGGGGGGAGAGGTGGGACGAATATCCTCACTGCCTCCTAACAAGCATGTCGCTGTAAAAGGGTGTGACTTTTACAGTTGGAGCATGTCTTCATGAGATGCGAGGACTCAAATAAGTCAGATTTGTGAAAAGTCATTGAACGCAAATACAGGCTCTGAAACAAGGGTGAATGCCGAGGAAGAAGTAAGTGAAAGAAGAAGAAGAAGAAGAAGAAGAAGAAGAAGAAGAAGAAGAAGAAGAAGAAGAAGAAGAAGAAGAAGAAGAAGAAGAAGAAGAAGAAGAAGAAGAAGAAGAAGAAGCTGAAGAAGAAGAAGAAGAAGAAGAAGAAGAAGAAGAAGAAGAAGCTGAAGAAGAAGAAGAAGAAGAAGAAGAAGAAGAAGAAGAAGAAGAAGAAGAAGAAGAAGAAGAAGAAGAAGAAGAAGAAGAAGAAGAAGAAGAAGAAGAAGAAGAAGAAGAAGAAGAAGAAGAAGAAGAAGAAGAAGAAGAAGAAGAAGAAGAAGAAGAAGAAGAAGAAGAAGAAGAAGAAGAAAAAGAAGAAGAAGAAGAGAAATAAATAGAAGAAGAAGAAGAAAAAGAAGAAGAAGAAGAAGAAGAAGAAGAAGAAGAAGAAGAAGAAGAAGAAGAAGAAGAAGAAGAAGAAGAAGAAGAAGAGGAAGAAGAAGATGATGATGATGATGATGATGATAATAATGATGATGATGAAACAGAATAAGAAGAAGAACAACATCAAGAAAAAAAAAAAAAAATAAGCAACAAAACAAAATATAGTTTATGTTCACATGTCATCGGTGAGTGGTCGTGCCTCAAACACATCAGACACATTAAATCCAGGAGGCACTGATTGTGCAGTCGTGGAAGCTGCTGTAAAAAACACGTCGGTGTTAATCGCTTACAAAACTATGAGCCTGCACCATACGCCCGGTAATAATGATACTTTAGGTCAGTGTGATTTTTATCTTTATTGAAAATTGGATCTTCATACTGCAGGTTACATGATGGTTCAAAGTCCAGAGAAGGACAACCACAAGTCTTTCAGTTTGCGAATGAAGTCGACTCTCACTAAACGAGGAGTTCATGTAAAAACATCCGGCTATAGAGTAAGTGTATTTTCTCTTTCTTATATTCAGGCGGACAGGCTGAGCGGTAATTTGATGACGGATATGCAGATAGATGGGTAATTTCACAAGTACAGTAAATACAGTACGTCTATAAGTGAATTCTGATATACTCAGTTATTTCAGTGTTATTAACCAGTCATTTGTTTAAATTGTGAACATCTAGAAGCACAGACAAAAAGACAAATTGATTGCAAAACCCTACGTGACAGACAATGGCACAACCGTATAATGAAGACGATTAGCGGCAATTTTCCAGTTAGTCTCGTTGGTTCCGTCCCCCATTATAATAATTATCAAAGAGACAATGTATTGATAGGCACTCATATAAAGAAGTATAAAGATAGAGAGACACAATAAACAACAAAGCTATGGTTACCGTGACGGGAATCGAACCTGTCACTTCCAGATGGCGTGTGTGCCTAGCCATGAAGACAAGCCTACTAAGAACACAACCAACTAGGCGCCCCGAAAAAAAAGATGTCTTCGTTATCATGTCTAGCGTACAGCTTTAAATCGACAACTATGGAATACGGACAGAATTAATCTCAAACCATTTAAATGGCACAGCAATTTATATTAAAGAAGCAGAGGTCGAATAACAATCACCTCAACAATTTTACAATCCCTGCAAACCGTAATGCTTTGTCAAGAATACACGAACATTCAAGAAAGAGATTTGATTGGTAGGTTTCACTGTGTAACACGTCAATATCACAAATAAACAAAGGGGAACACTATGGTTCTACGGTTCCCCGTTTTCCAGAAGAATGATTCCAGCATGTGAAACCAAAGTTGACAAGTGCTGGTCACTTATAAATCACAACTACGATGGTCATATGATAAGGGCAGAGACTTTTGGAGTACATTGTGACCACTGGGAAGATCAAAGGTAGAAGTGGGAGAGGCAGACCGAGAGATAATGACGTATGCATTGCGACGGTGGCATGGATGGATATCATCCGTGGAACTGATCCAGAAGACACGGGGTCGAGATCTGTGGATGCCTGAACGTTTACGCCAGTCAGCACTATCACTGATGTCATGATCCAAACAGAAAATATTTACAATGAACAGCTAATCTATCTATTACAGGACGTTGCAGAACCAACCGCAGCAATTGTTGACTGTTTATGATTTTACTAGGCATTTTGTTACGTTAAGTAGTGTGTCATTGCGTTTCAACGGTCGGCTCTTGTTTCCGCAGTCTGACCCAACGCAAATCAGTCTGCTGCCAAATCGACTGGTGCTCAAATCTAACCTGATACCTCCAAATTACGAAGCGTTCCCAACGGTTAAGCCATAGACACCGAAACATAATATATAAGTTAGTTACGTATCCTTTACAGGACGTTGCAGAACCAAGCCCAGCATTTATTGGCTTTTGTGGTTTTTCTAGGCACATTTTACTTTCAGTAGTTTGCCCTTGCTCAATGAACGGTCAGCTCTCGGTACCACTGTCGAAACCAGCGCAAGACAAATAGTCCGCAGCAGGGATCGAACAAGGCACCCCGGCATTTCGAAGCATTAAATTGGATCCGATTTGAAACAATGTGTACTTTTGAAGTCATTACTAACATGATTATTGATATTATTTATTATTATTATTATTATTATTTATTATTATTATTATTATTATTATTATTATTATTATTATTATTATTTATTATTATTATTATTATTATTATTATTATTATTTATTATTATTATTATTATTATTATTATTATTATTATTATTATTATTATTATTATTATTACTATTATTATTATTATAACCATGATTATCATCATTAATGTAGAAACCTTCCACCCTTACAAATGTATTGTCTCCCTCACAGGTCGTGCATGTGCTTGGGACACTTCGCAAACAGTCATCGTTTGGAATTAGACCTGGAGGTCAAGGCAACAGTAACTGTAACATCCCCAGCACTAATAGTAACAGTAATTCCTCCGAAGCTCCTCCACTCCTGGGGATGGTGGGTATGGCAATAGCGCTACCTCCCCCAACCATCACAGAGCTGCGGCTGGAGTTAGATACGTTCATTACAAAACTTAGTCCTGATTTCAAAGTTATCTACTGTGAGCCGATGTAAGTATACTTATTTGATGCACAGGGATTGTTAATCAGTTCTCTTATACTTCTTCTGAGCAAACACGGGATGTAAACTTCTGGATGTTCGTCTATTTCTGGATTTTGGTCTTTTTCCAGAACTTCAGTTTTATGTGTACATCCGTTTTACAAATCGGGCTTACTTTACACAGACTGCTGGTTCATCGCAAAGAAGACACCTGCTTTTAGCTACGTTTATCGTCTTGCTCGTTACCGGGTAGTTGATATGTTCACCAAACATCTCTTCTTTTTTTTTTCGTCTTCTTCTTGGTATTCTTCTTGGTCGTCTGTTTCTTTTCTTCTTTGATTTTTTTTTTTGTCTTCTTGTTCGTCGTCTTCTTTGTCTTCTTCTTTGTCTACTTCTTTGTCTTGTTTTTTTTTTCCTTTGTCTTTTTCTTTGTCTTGTTTTTTGTCTTCTTTCTCATCTTCTTCTTCGTCTTCTTCTTCGTCTTTTTCTTCGATGTCTTCTTTTCTTCTTTCGCTTCGTCTTTGTCTTGTTTTTAGTCATCTTCCTCGTCTTCTTCTTCGTCTTTTCTTCTTCTTCTTCTTCTTCTTCTTCTTCTTCTTCTTCTTCTTCTTCTTCTTCTTCTTCTTCTTCTTCTTCTTCTTCTTCTTCTTCTTCTTCTTCTTCTTCTTCTTCTTCTTCTTCTTCTTCTTCTTCTTCATCTTCTTCTTCTTCTTCTTCTTCTTCCTCTTTTTTTCTTCTTCTTCTTCCTCTTCTTCTTCTTCTTCTTCTTCTTACTCCTACGACATTCTTTTTGGGACGGCAGTTGATCTATTCTTGTTTTTCCCCACAAATGGGCCCCAGAACTCATATTGTGAGAAAATTGCATACAATCTATGAAGATATGGATCATTCACAGAAGCATAGGTTGAATTTCATGGAAATAAAAGCAATCACATACATAGGTTCCTAAGAGACTGTATAAAAAAAAAAATGAGTTTCATAAGGAAATGTAACACAGACCAGGGAAATATTTCGGCCATATCAAAAGACACAACACTCTCACAAAATCCATATTTCAGGGAAATTGTGAAGGCAAGCGAGCAAGACGCAAACAACGATACAAGTGGGAGGGTCACATAATGAAACAGCCGTTTAGCAGACTGAGAGGGATAACATCCAGGGCTATAAACAGAGAGTTTTGGAGATAATGTTAAGCCAACCTTTATTTTCGAGACGGCAACTGATTGATTTATTTGTAGACTGTGAGCTTCTCTCCCCCCCCCCCCCTTCCCCCCCCCCCACCCCACTCTTTGAGTACAAAACGGCGATGACAATGTCAGAAACACCTATTGTGGCTGACTAACTTTACATTAGTAGAGTATGAATAATTGGTTCTTTAAAAATATATGACCCGTAGATGACGTCGCAGGACAGTCTAACATTAAAGAGGGTGTTAAGACTGGTTTTTCCGACTTTCTAATGCTTTTAACGACCCCAAAACATCTAGAACTGGCCCTGACCCCAACTCAAATACATCCCACAACAGAGTGCAGCCTAGGTCCCACGCCTGCATGCAGCTTATCTACCACCCAATGAAATATTAGACTGTCCCGTGACCGGTGGATTTTCCCAGTTTGGGGAAGGATATTAATAAAGCTCCAAATAATTTTGTCATAAACAGCCAATGACCATCTTTATTCTACAATCAAATACTGGGGCCCTGAACAAGGGGCGCATCTTTATACATTATCTGCTTGTAATTAGGTCTGCAGTGTGCGGCATTTGCAAGGCGTGCTCGGAAAACCAACGAAAATACGTTTGATGACGTGTGATCAAATTATTAAATATACGGTAAATTTTACGCGGGTCTCCCCATTTACACACCGCTACACAATAGCTCGCTTCTGACTGGACGAACTCTAACGATCCAACTTTCACAAAACGTCACGGGGATATTCCGCACTCGCGTTGACACCACGTGTTGTATATTTCACCATGCCAGAGCTTTTAACACTTCTGAAACATTTAGATACTTGGTCTAACACACAACCCCCCTAGAGAGTGACAAAACTTATGCCACAGATCGTCTCTTTCTCGGAAACAGACTGCAGCACCCATAACCTCGACCACGGTAGACTAGTCCAATCAACTTATCAATGGAGTTGACCTACAACCTGTGTTGTGTAAACTGGGAGACCATCGTATAAATAAAAAAAACAATACATGTACTAAATAATTGTTGGTACATTATTTACATAAGAGCCGCATAGTAAAGTATGAAAAGGACCGTTTTAGACGCTTTTTGGGAATATAGGGCTAGACCTAAATTTTTATAGACCAAACGAAACTTGGTGGGTAATGTGGATGAACCACGCTGGCTGCCTTTACTTTCAAGGACTGCACCTGGTACCCACTCAAGGCTATGTCGACCTAGGAGTCAAGGTCATTTTTGTAAAACGCAGCGGGGGCGAACCCAAGACCTTTTGATCCGCAGACAGGCGTCTAGCCGCCAGCGCAACAGCAACTTCCACAAAGGAGCCTCATGCTTTTATTATTCTTAATATAATATGTAGATTAATTTTAAAAAGGGAATTGTGTAATATTCAGTACGCAGTAAAGTACGGAAGATTTTACTTTTCTTTTTCTTTCTTGTTATTGCATTAATTACGTGATGGGTTTAGATGTTTTAAAGGTAATTTATGGATTTGAAGTCACACACACACACACAAAAGACACGTACAATCTTTGTTTAAATTCACAATAGTAGCACGCTACTTTGATTGTTTTACACACACACACACACATTTACATACATGTGTATGTTTGCTCTTGAATTAAAGTCGACGTATAAAATATTTAGTGTATGCAAGAACGTGCTATTTTTTTCCTTGCACAGAATAAATGATCTGATGGACCTGACTGTAGAGGACGTCACTGACAGACTACTGTATGATCTGTGTCACGCCGCAGATCTGAAGAGCCTCAGGCGGTCGCATCTTGATAGTAAGTTGTATTAATATATTGTCGGCATGTGTGCCTCTTTGTACTGAAGATGTCTTGAAAACAACTGGCTCACAAAGAGAACTGAATTCCCATATGAGCAAGAGACAATCAACATTCTTTAGTCATGTGATGAGAAACTGGACTACATCGTGACGGTAAGAAAGTTGGAGGGAAGAAGTGGCCTAGGGAGACAGAGAGAACAGATGATGGATAGCCTGACATCGTGGCATGGAAGATCATCTGTGTCAGAGTTTATTGAAAGTACACGAGACAGACGGTTGTTGATAGACATGACTACAACACCACATGGTATTGACTCCAAGAAGAAGAAGAAGAAGTGTGCCTCTTTATCTGTCTTCATATATTTCTCTCTCTCTCTCTCTCTCTCTCTCTCTCTCTCTCTCTCTCTCTCTCTCTCTCTCTCTCTCTCTCTCTTATATATATATATATATATATATATATATATATATATATATATATATATATATATATATATATATATACACACATGCATATATACAGTCGAAACTTCATGGAGGCATGCGCACAATAGGTGTCTTCCAATTGTTAGAATTAGAACCACAAGAAATCTTCTAATCCTAAGAAATCTCCATCTAATTTCTCTCTACGACATAAACAAAAAGTAGCTGTCTGTCTGTCTATCTACAACAAGTCTACTGGAATTAGTTTTCTCAGGCGCCAGAATTTCGAAAATGGTGGCCTTCACAGACCAGAGGTCCGAGTCAACGCACAGACAACACAGTACAACCAGAAGTGATCCACGCACCATCTGCTAGTCTTCCATGGGGCCAGATATATATGTACGAACGAACGAACCAACGAACGAACTTTATTTTCATATATAAAGAGCCACCGTGGTATACTGGCTTGACGCTCGCCCACGGATCAGAAGGTCATGAGTTCAAATCCAGACAGAGCAGGACTTTTCTTCAAAAATGATCTTGTTTCCAGATGGACCCAGCCTTAAATGGGTACCAGGTACGGTCCTGGCAAGTAATGGCTGCCAGCGTGATGTTGACCACGTCATCCACCCAGTACCAATGGGTCTGTAAAAAATAGGTCAGGCACTCTATGCCTAATATACTTGATCGTGATGAAAAAGGCTGACAGTTTCAGAGAAAGGGTACTACTTCTAACGATCGGAAGACACCTATATGCTCGTGCCTCCTCGAAGTTTCGACTATATATTTATATGTGTGTATTTACAAGAACCCTATGGGACGCATAACAGTCCACTATCCATAAAAAGCCATTTTAAACGCCTTTAAGGCGTATTGGGTATATAAGTCTAGATCTAGATTTTATAGACCACACTGCACTTTGTGGGGGATGTGGTAAGCATCACGCCGGCTGCCTTGACATTCCAGGACTGCGCCGGGTACCCACTCACGGCTGGGTCGATCTGGAAGCCAAGGTTATTTTTTTTAAAGTTCCCCCCCCACCCCCTCCGTCAGGAACCGAACCCAGAACCTTTAGATAGACAGGCGAGCGTCCAACCGCAAGGTCACGGCGGCTCCCCCCCCCCCCGCTCTCTCTCTCTCTCTCTCTCTCTCTCTCTCTCTCTCTCTCATATCTACATACATAAACACGTACATATTTGCATGGAGAACAGAGAGTGAGAGAGTCAAATAAGTGTCCTTACATGGGAAATAAAACAAATGACCAACGCCATTATTAGCAGAACTCCAGCAGTGCTCATACTATTCTACAGAAGTGGAAGATACGTATCGAACTATATTTAAACAATTATATTTTCCCTATGAATGGAAACTTATGGAACACATGCACTAATACACATAACTGGATGTCTACAGTACTAAATAAAGGGCAGGCACTGACTGACTACTATCGTCTCATGAACAGACACGGTGGCTACATCTGGATACAGACCTGCGCTACAACACTTCTCAACAACAAAAACGCAGATGATCAAAGTATTTTGGCCATCAATTTTGTTGTGAGGTAGGTTTCTTTATCTTAATGTTTGTGCCGTGTGACGTTCCATAAT